CCGGCCGTGCCATCACAGTTTTTAAGGCTAAAGCCACCTGATTGATATTTTCTGAACCATCGTTGACACTTTGAGTGTTCAAAACACTTCCATAAACTTCTTTGATATTCTTTGTGGCTACAGAGGCGTTGTTTCCCTTCTTGTATTCAAACAGCATTACAAGACGAATGTGTGTCTCGTCGTATGCCATCACTATAAGGGATTAGAATACACTAAACTTTAAACATTATATAGGCTACACTAACGTGAGGTTTAGGCGGTTCGTTTAACTTTTATACATGATGTACGTTTTTTGGAGGTGGTTAATGAAAGTGTTCCAAAATGCTACATTAATTTCTTGACGATCTAATAGTTTTTTTCTCTAGTGGTTCAGCGATAAGTCAGCAGGCTTACGACGCTAAAAATCGGGTTTCGATACCCATGGTGGGCAAAGAACAGATAGCTTATTGTAAACTCTGTGTTTACCAACAAACAAACCTAATTTAACTTTAGTGTCAGTACAGAAAAATACTAAATATGACTTATCACACCACAGCATGCTTTCAGTCATTAACTGTCTACAGATTGTGCACAAAAACAATTGGAACCACACTTTCTATTTTTCTTTCTTTTTTAAATCAGAGAAAAGAGATTTTCGGCTGTCTTTAACAGCTTCTATAATTTTCTTCGCATCATAATACTATAAATATTCAAATCCTGATCGCTATTAAAGGAAACGATTAATTAGGACATAGTTTGTCGTCTGTTTCACTTGAAAAGCTTGTACCATTGTCATTCCTTTTGGTCGGTCACAACTAGTTGATGACAGCAGTTTTTTTTTAAGGCAGAAGCATTCCCTTTGGAGTGCTACTGCTGATAGACCCTGATGTCTCAGACAAAGAAATGGGTTTGATAACGATGTTTTCGTTAAGAGATGGCAACGATAATGACTCTTTGAAAGTTGGAGAGATTCTTTCTCTTACCTGTTGTATAGCTAACAAACTGTGATGAGATTGCATCTCAGCGATTATATTACTGAAGCGGATATCTGACACTTTGCATGACCAGTATGTTTTGCATACGTAACTACATAGCGTATTATACATGCGCGGGAGCGTGTGTGTGGAAAAGTCTAACTTTTATATGGGCTGAGCGTGACTAGTGATAACGTTTCAGACTACATATTGAAAGGTACAGTGTTTGAATGAACCACATTCTGCACTTTCAGCTGTAAGTTATAAGAGTAGCAGGCAATTCAATTATTCGGTTGAAAAAGCCGGAAAAAGTCCATGTTGCGGCGGGTGAGAACAACTGGCTGCTCTTCCTTTGATCAATAGTTGAAAATTAGAGACAGATACACCCCAACCCTAGGGTCATCTAATCTGGCTGTTTAGTTCATGTGCGTGCTAAAGGTGCTGTTCTGGTTGAAAACACCAATATCAAGTAAAGTAATATACACAATACCCTGACACAGTCCCAAATTGAAGATACTAGAGTATATTTCACTTGTTATATCCGCGACCTGTTTACAATCTTTTGTAATATAGTATAGCGAATTTTAAAGTATAATGTATATTGTACAGGTAAGCCTTTTTTATCATTCTTAACATAATCGGCTCATAAACCAGATTGTCAATAACATCACCTTCATTCGAACATAAGATGAGTAATTAAAATACACTGACATGTGTTATTTTGTTCTGCGAAATTTTCGGTTTGTTTGTTATGCATTTCGTGCAAAGCTACACGAGAGTTATCTGCGCTAGCCGTCCCTAATTTAGCAGTAAAAGACTAGATGGAAGGCAGCTAGTCATCACCACCCACCGCCAACTCTTGGGCTACTATTTTACCAACGAATAGTGAGATTTATCGTTACATTATAACACCCCACAGCTGAAAGATCGAGCATGTTTGGTGGGACGGGGATTCGAACCCGCGACCAGCAGATTGTGAGTCGAGCGCTCTAGCCACCTGGCCATGACGAAATTTACGACATTTATTTACATTTAATACGAGTCTCATGTTATTAAACTTGTGTATATAGATGCAATACTCTTGTATACCAAGTGGTATGTTTAAATGTTATAAAAAAGTAAAAATTAGTTGCATTGTGTACTACTAGTAAAACTGGAATATTATGTTTGTTTGTTTATTTGCATTTAAGCACAAAGAAACTCAATGGGCTATCTGTGCTCTACCCATCATGGGTAATGAAACCCGGTTTCTAGCGTTGTAAGTCCGCAGACATACTGCTGTGCCACTGGGGGGGGGGGATATCGTGAAATAGTACCCCTGAACGCTTTGGTGTAGGTGGCATAGTGAAGAAAATAACGAAACAACAAGCCTATCATGGGGAGGGGAGCTTTCTAGAACTTTTATCGGAATTGTTTTGTTGGATGTTAATCTCCGTATTTTTTGTTTTAGCAGTATAACTTGAAATTATTTTAGTAACCAAAATAATAAGCATATATGATGAGGAACTGTTATTTTCAGCTATCCTCGATAGATTATCTGGTAGGCAAGGGTTGTTGTCGTAAGGAATAAAATATATCTGACAAGTACATATACGAAGATCATTATCGCAATGGCTTCTGGTAATTGCAGTCCTTGGATGATTTGCACGAGGATCCCAGTCTGACATTAGCAACTGTAAATTCCAATAAGTAAACTTTAAAAAGAAAACAGTTTGGACGACTAGAAATCATTTTTTTTACAATAAATAACACACATAAAATCTATATAGAAAAATTAGTAACAGTTTGTTTTCTGAATTATTCGTGTACCTATTATAGAAAATGTCGATATCACACTATGATTCATTTAAAAAAAAAAACGTCTTAATATCAATGGTAAATTTTGCGATAACTGTTTTATGAATAACGAAATCCGAAAATCACAACATGAAAGAGATTGCACTTTAAACATAATATGTTTTAGAAACTTACTTTTATTTTCACACAATGCTCTCAGTGTTAAATGGGTCCAAATTACCTAAGTAAAGAAAATATTGAATAATCACTCATGATTATATACACGTCAGGATGCATTCCTTTCTAATTAATAACAAACTAATTGGTAAAAATGCTTTCACTGCTGTCGTTGATAAGCGAAAGATATAATCTAGTAATTTTCTTGACGAAAACAGAAAACAGTTACACCAGATATATTTTACTCCACAATGATAAATCAATTCAAACTTACGATTTCACACACATATGATTTATTTTTAGTAAAGTACGTTTAAAAATCAAACTCATCCTAGAATAATTCGTAGTTTCCTCAAATAAATAAAGAATCAAAAGAAATATGGTTGACAACTTAGATTTGTCATCTTAAACTTAAACATTTGCTATATAAAAAAACAAGAATAACAATGCCCTTAATTTCCCGAATTGTTCCTTTAATTAAGGATGATAGATTATTTTCTATAAAATAAATTGGAAATTGCACTGAATCTTCTCCTAAAATAACACCTATTCCTTTAATAGTATTGCTATGATTACTAGTAATTGCTGTAATTTTCATATTAATCATACAGTCATGGTTTCATATATTGACGACATTTTTACACTTCTGAGAGTATAAGCATTCGGAAGAAGTGGTCCTATTTTAAGTTAGATTAACAGTAAACACTTTATAGTCAGCATCAGGAATTTTTTAATCCCATTATTAAATCAATGATAGTTTTCCAATGTTAAATTATGTAATATTTTTTAAAAAGTATATTTCCATAAGCTATACTAGTACATAAAATATCATTTAATTCTTCTTTAACAAAAATCATTTTATTTTTTATTTTTGACTGAGGGAATTACGCCTTCAATATTTCATAAAACCTCTTTATTAATAAGAATGGTTTAATCAGCCATCCCAAGTTATAAATAATTGTATATTAAAAACTAAACTCAACAGTCGTTTTTTTTTTAGTTTAATAAAATGTATTAATTTTCAATACTAATAGGACACAAAGATGATTTATTAAGTTTAGGCTTAGAGATGAACTGTAATATCCTTACATTTCGTTTAGGTTTTATGAAAATTACTTTGTAAAAAGAGAAAAATTTTGCTACTGTCTATCATAACTTAGGAACTTTGTAAAAATAAAAAAAGAATATATTTTGCTACTGCCTATCATAACTTAGGAACTTTGTAAAAATAAAAAATAAAATATTTTTTGCTACTGCCTATCATAACTCTTTGGAACTTTGTAAAAATAAAAAATAAAATATTTTTTGCTACTG